TCGAGGTGTGGCAGGACATGCTGGCCATCCACTCGATGGTGATCCCGCCCATCGAGGACGTCGACAACTGGCTCCGGTTCTCGAGCCTGTGCCGCAAGAGCGGCCGCCTGCGCCTCTCCTACAAGACCCTCGTCAACCTCCTCGGCTCCGATCCCGCCCACCACCCACTCGACCTCGCCGCCTCACATCCCGGGTTCGCCCCGTCTCACCACCGCACACGCACACCACCGCACACACATTCCTCACATTCTGATGTGGGTGCGCGAGCAGGGTGACGTTCAACTATTTGAAGCATATGTACGCCGCCGGGGATAAGAAGGAGGCGTTCGAGCGGCTGCGCGTGTTCACCGAGGGCCTGCCCGGCGACGACGCCGCGCTGCAGGCCCGGTGCTACCTCACCATGGGCCAGTGGGAGTCCGAGCTCAACGACAACCTGTCGGAGACCAACATCCTCGCCCTGTTCAAGGCCGCGATCGAGTACGACGACACGTGGTACAAGGCCTGGCACTCGTGGGCCCTGTCCAACTTTGAGGTGATCAGCCACTACCAGAAGCTCAACATGCCGGAGAAGATCTCGCCCCACCTCGTGCCCGCCGTGGCGGCCTTCTTCCGCTCCATCGCGTTGGCCCCGCAGGGCAAGAGCCTTCAAGACACCCTCAGGTCCTCACGCACACACCGCACACGCACACGCCGCACCACCCCCCCCCACGGCACACGGCACACGCACATGGCAGTGACTCACAACATTTTTTTTTTTTGGCAGGCTGCTGACGCTTTGGTTCAAGTACGCGGCCGAGAAGCAGGTGGAGGACGCGCTGGTCGAGGGCTTCACCACCGTGTCCATCGACACTTGGCTCCAAGTCGTGCCCCAGGTACAGCCCCGCTCTTCCGTGGCACGACCAACGACACGACCAACGACACGACCAACGACACGACCAACGACACGACACGACCAACGACACGACCAACGACACGACCAACGACACGACCAACGACACGACCAACGACAACCGCACGTACTAATTTTATTTTATTTTTGATAATTGTTCAGCTGATCGCGCGCATCCACTCGCCGGTGCCGAGCGTGGCGCGAATGGTGCACGACCTGCTGACCAACGTGGGCAAGGAGCACCCGCAGGCCCTCGTCTACCCGCTCTCCGTCGCCTCCAAATCCCACGCCTCCGCCCGCATGTCCGCCGCCAACAGGTCCGCCCGCGATCCACCCACTATCCCACCACCACTTTAGCGACTTACGCGCATCTCGCGTGTCGTGCCGTGTCGTGCGTGTCGTGCGACCAACGCAGTGTGCTGGACAAGATGAGGAAGCACTACAACTCGATGGTCGAGGCCGCGCAGCTGGTGTCGGTGGAGCTCATTCGGGTGGCGATCCTGTGGCACGAGATGTGGCACGAGGGCCTCGAGGACGCCTCCCGCCTCTACTTCAGCAACCGCGACGTCGAGGGCATGCTCAAGAAGCTCGAGACCCTCCACGAGATCCTCGACAAGGTGCGTGTCGTGTCATGCTGTGTGTCGTGCTGTGTGTCGTGTCGTGTCGTGTCGTGTCGTGTCGTGTCGTTGGTCGTGTCGTGTCGTCTGATGGGGAAGGCGCAGGGTCCGGAGACGCTGCGCGAGGTGGCCTTCCAGCAGGCCTACGGCCGGCAGCTGCAGGAGGCGCTCGACTGGTGCAAGAAGTACACGCGCTCCAACCGGGTGGCCGACCTCACCCAGGCGTGGGACCTCTACTACCAGGTCTTCAAGCGCATCAACAACCAGCTCAAGCCCGGCCAGATGAAGACCCTCGAACTCCAGTGCGTGCCTCACATTCCTCTGCTATGGTGGTGGTGTGACGTCAGCATGGTGTGACGTCAGCTCATCTCACTTCTCCTCGTTGGTCGATGGTCAAAGATATGTGTCGCCCAATCTGCTGGCGGCGCGAGACCTGGAGCTGGCGGTGCCGGGCACCTACGAGGCCCGCACGGACGAGGTGGTCAACATCGCCTCGTTCGCGCCCATACTGTCCGTCTTCTCCTCCAAGCAGCGGCCCCGCAAGCTCTCCATGCTCGGCTCCAACGGCAAAGAATACACCTTCCTCCTCAAAGGTACGCTTATATGCGCGTGTGCGTGTGCGTGTGCGTGTGCGTGTGCGTGTGCGTGTGTGCGTGTGCGGTGCGTGTGCGGTGCGTGTCATGTGTGCGGCGTGTGTTCTGACTTTGGTGTGACATCAAAAAGGCCACGAGGATCTGCGGCAGGACGAGAGGGTGATGCAGCTGTTCGGGCTGATCAACACGCTGCTGGCCAACGACCGCGAAACGGCCAACCGGCACCTGAGCATCCAGCGCTACGCCATCATCCCCCTGTCGCCCAACAGCGGTCTCATCGGCTGGGTGCCCAACCACGACACCCTCCACGACCTCATCAAGTACGCGCTCGTCCACCTGTGTGTCGTGTGTGTCGTGTGTGTCGTGTGTGTCGTGTGTGTCGTGTGTGTCGTGTGTGTCGTGTGTCGTGTGTCGTGTGCGGGTGAATGACACTCGTTGTTTTGCTGCGCAGGGGCTATCGCGGGCCACGCAAGATCGATCTCAATCACGAGCACAAGCTGATGATGCAGGTCACCTCCAAGTTTGACGAACTGTCCCTCATCCAAAAGGTACCACTTCGCCCTAAACAACTTGAATCTCCCACGTCATCGTGCCACCTTAAGCGTTTGGCGCCACCTTAACCTACGACCACCTTAAACGTCGATCGTGGCCACAGGTCGAGGTGTTCGAGCACGCGCTGGAGAACACGAAGGGGTCGGACCTGGACCGGGTGCTGTGGCTCAAGAGCCCCAATTCGGAGGTGTGGCTGGAGCGGCGCACCAACTACACGCGCTCGCTGGCGGTGATGTCGATGGTGGGCTACATCCTGGGCCTGGGCGACCGCCACCCGTCCAACCTCATGCTCGACCAACACACCGGCAAAATCACCCACATCGACTTTGGCGACTGCTTCGAGGTTCGACACAACGCAACGCACGACACGCACGGCACACACGACACGCACGGCACGCACGCACGCACACACACACACACCATCACACGACGCACACGACGCTAATGTGATATATGCGTGCAGGTGGCGATGCACAGAGACAAGTACCCGGAGAAGATACCGTTCAGGCTGACCCGGATGCTGATCAATGCGATGGAGGTGAGCGGGATCGAGGGCAACTTCCGGTTCACGTGCGAGCGGGTCATGCGCGTGCTGCGCGACAACCGCGAGTCGGTGATGGCCGTGCTCGAGGCCTTTGTCTACGACCCGCTCATCAATTGGCGCCTGCTGCAGCCCACGTCGCCCGACAACGCCAACGAGACGAGCAGCGCCAAAATGGTGCGCGAGACGACCAACACCGGCGAGCAAGATGGTGAGCCCTCCCCTTCGTTCTCTTTCGCTCTTTCGCAAAGCTTCGCTCTTTTTTAACTCCTATTGGTGGTTGGCAGACGCGGGTGGTATGGAGACGCCAGAGATCTTCTCGCCCAGCGGCGATGATGACGGATCGCCGCACACGGGGACCTTCCGCTCCAAGAGCGTCCTGTCGCGCGTGGCCAACGCCGAACTCGCCGCAGGCACCGAGAACGGCCTGAACGAACGGTATGCGTGTGCGGTGCGGGTGTGCGGTGTGGCGTGTGCTGCGTGTGCGTGTCGTGTCGTGTCGCGATGAACTGTAAATTGAATCGCACACGCAGAGCGTTGATGGTGATCGACCGCGTGTCGGCCAAGCTGCGGGGCAAGGACTTCAGCGACAAGCAGAGCCTGGACGTGCCGCGGCAGGTGCGGAGGCTCATCGACCAGGCCACCTCCCACGAGAACCTGTGCCAGTGCTACACTGGTTGGTGCCCCTTCTGGTGAGACCAGATGAGAGATGGATCCAGGCGCGACCGAGTCTCTCTTTTCCCTCTCGAGATCGAGATGGAGATGGAGAGGCTACGTAGCATCGTGTGGTTTGCTGTAATTATTTTTCTCAATCGTTTGGATTAGACGATTTGATTCGATTAGATTTATTTGTCATCGATGACGCCTGCCTTGGCCATGTTGGTGATCAAGCGCTCCTTGGTCTGCACAGAGAAGGAGGTGGGTTCGACGGATGGACCCTTGTGCACGACGAATGCAGGGAAGGACGAGATGTGGAGTGCCGCCATCAGTTCGTCGTCGATCTCATCTGCATCAATGGTGAGGAACTGATTGACGATGTTGGCCTTTCGCGAGATCTCAACAAAGGCCGGCTGCAGGATGGACGAGTGCACCGGCGTGCCCTCCTCGAAGCAATAGATCACCACTGGGCGGTTTGGGGTGCCTCAGCCACGTAGTCCTTCACCTCATAGCTGCTCACCTTGCGTAGCGACATCTTGTTCAAGATCAAACGTAAAGAGAAATGAGTTTTTTCTTCTTTGTGTGATGCCACGCTGCGATGATGACGATGGTGGTGCTAGTCGGTGGTGAGGCGGCCGTCGAACTCGACGAGCTTCTTGGAGAGGCGGTTCTGCTTGGAGGCGTAGAAGAGGTTGAACACGGACGACGCCGCCGACCCATCCACGCCGCCACCGGCAGGCGACGGCGGCTCCCTCTCGCGCTTGCGGCCGCCGCCGCGCTTGTCCGGCGTCGCTCGCGGGTCTGGCATCTCCTCCCGGCCCTTCTCGCGCAGCTTCTCGATGTTCTCGAACCGCTCCAGCTCCTGCCATGACGTCGACGTCGCCGTCGCCGTCATCTCGACGTCGGCCCCACCGATGCCGCCCTCCCACTCCTTCACGCCGGCGCCCTCCCGCTCCGGTCGGTCCCGGTCCGGCCGCGGGCTCTTGCCCTTGTTCCCTCCTTTCCCACCGCCGCCGCCGCCGCTCTTGGCCCGCACGCGGCCCTTGAGCGCGTCGTTGACCTTCATTCGCGGGTCGGTCCGCTGATGGTGCGGCGGCTGGCCACCGCCCGATCGCGGGCTCGACGCCGACGCCGACGACGATGGCGATGGCGAGGCGGAGGGCTGGGGGTGGGCTGCGGGCGAGGCGCGCTGGGCATTGGCGTTGGCGGCGGTGGTGGCGTCGGAGGCGACGTCGGGGGGCTGGTCGACGGGCCAGAGGGAGCGCATGGCGGCGATGATCTGCTGGTGGGCCGCGTTGGCGCTCATCCGCTCGCCGTAGGCCAGCAGCTCCAGCCACAGCTGCCTGTACGCCTCCTATGGCACGACACGACACGACACCACACGACCAACGACACGACCAACGACCAACGACACGACACGCGCGGTGGGCCGTGAGTGGGTGTTGGAGGGAGAACACAGCTGGGGTGGGGTACCTTGCGGTTAGGCTGCGAGCCGGCGAACTGAGGGAATACGCGAATGTCGTTGGCGTGCGACAGCTGGTAAAGCCGCGTCACGCTCTGGACGACGACAAGAGGCAATGAGTGTCACGCACACAACACAACACACGACACGACCAACGACACGACACATGACACGCACCTCGATGACGGTCTCCTTGATGTCCTCGGAGAGGTTCTCCTTCTGGAGGAAGGCGTGCTTGAAGGGGCGCAGCAGCTGCTTCAGCTCCTTCGATCTATCCTTCCCGAAGATGAGCGTCGTGTTCTGCGCATTGTGTTTTGTTTTATAAGCCACCGCACACAACACGGCACACACCGCACACACCGCACACACCGCACACACCGCATACCTTGGTGGGAGGGAAGACGCGCGTCATGCGTTCCATGGTCTCGGTGGTGATGTAGCGCATGCCGGGGGCCTCGATGTGGGTCAGCTTGGGCCGCTCCCGCAGCTGCTTCTCCTCCAGGTCCATCTGGTCCACCTCCTGCACCCCAGCCCCAACCGTCAAAGTCAGTCCGAGCGGGGGCAGTGTGTGCGGTCGTGCGTGGGGTGCGTGCGGTCGTGCGTGTGCGGTGGGGGCTTACCAGCTTTTTCTTGGCCCGGGTTTTGACGCCGGCCTTGGCGGCGCCCTGCTTCTTGCTGTTGGACTGTCGCAGCTTGGACAACCGCAGGTGCGTGTTGGCCTCCACCACCTGCGCCAGGCTCTACACGCGCGTTCATCGACGTCAGCCCGACCACACACAAACACGCGCGTGCAGCGCAGGCGTGTGGGTGTGCGTGTGCGTGTGCGTGTGCGTGTGCGGACCTTGACCCGGAGGTTGTGGAGAGGCACGGAGTAGATGCGGTCGAGGTTGATCTCAGTACAGTTGAGCGGGGCGTGCAGGCGGCGCAGGAACACGTCCCCGTGGTGGGCGTGCAGCAGATGGCTCGCCGGAATCGGCGACGACGCCTTCACTGCACCAATTCGCCACAAACCCAGAATTTTAAAATAACTAAATAAATAACAGTATATAATGAATACTATAAATAATAAGCCAAATAAATGGATTCGAATAGAAAAAGAAAAAGAAAAAGAAAAGAAATGGTACCGGCTTTGACGATCTTGCCCTCCTGGTAGGTGGACTGGTCGGGGGTGATGAGGGTGACCACCTTGTCCGACAGGATGTGCTTCAGCAGACACACGGACGGGCTCGAACGCAGGTCGAGCGGCGACACACGCATCACACGCGAACACGCGTACGCGTCTGTTATACCACCCGACCGCACGCGCACGCGCATCAGTCACCGATCGTGTGCGTGTGCGGTGGGTTGGGTGGGGAGCGGGGCTACACACCGGCGGTGACGCCCTTGGGGGTGGTTTTCCACTGGACGACGAGCTCGTGGGCCAGGCGCTGCTGATGGGACCCCAGCACGTAGTGGCTCGTTTTAGCCCTGATCGAACACGCACCGTGAGTGAGGAGTTGTGACACGACACGCACACGACACACACGACACACGAACACAACGGCACACGCGCGTGTGGTGTTTGATGTTGCGTACCACTCGGCGACGATGTCTTCCTGGCTCCGGGGCGTGGAGAAGTAGCAGGCGTAGGGGTTCTGGTTCTCCATCGGGTGGAGGAGCACCACGTCGTAGATCGCACGCGTGGAGTCGGACGACGACTCCTTCATCGGAATGCCCGTCACTCTGCCCAAGCACACGACACGATACGACACGACACGACCAACGACACGACCAACGACACGACCAACGACACGACCAACGACACGACACAGTCAGCTTGTGCGAATGTGATGAATGTGAAGAATGTGATGAATGTGGCGTCGCGTAGCTAACGTGCCTGATGGACGAGAGGTTGAAGTGGAGTATGGACAGGTCCGACAGCACGTCGGGAAGCTGCGCGGGCGACACCTCGTGCAGGTACGCCGTCAAGTGGTTCGATACCTGGCGTGCGAGTGCGTGCGCGTGCGCGTGCGGCGTCGCGTGAGTTTGGAATTGTGTGCACGACTTCAAATGGGTTGGTGGGCGAACCTTGATCGGTGGGTGCGACGTGCAGTCCCTAACGTCGGCCACGTCCCGCAGCCGCAGCAACACCAGCTCGCAGTGTTCGATGGCTCTCGGCCTGGCGCAATAAACAATCAAAAAAACAAATATAAAATCAATTATAATCAATTTTCTTTTTATATTTTATAAATTATAAATTATAAAAGAAATTTTAATTAATTCAAGGCGCAGTGGGGGTACCGTAGGTTGGTGTCCTCTTCGTCCTCGCCTGCCTGTAGCGAGAAGGTGGTGGACGAAGCCGCGGCGTTGGCCTCGGCGATGAGTGTGTCCAGGAGCTGGGTCATGTCCCTCGTCGCCTCCTCCACCGCCTCGCCCTCTTCTGCCCCATCAAAGAAACTGTGTGTCGTGTGTCGTGCGTCGTGTGCGGTGTGTGTGCGTGTGCGGTGGCGCATGTGAGAAGAGCGAAACCAGAGGTGCGATTGTATTGTGGTCTTACGAGGAGGTGTACCTGTAGAGACTGGTCGAGGGCTGGTGCTGCAGGATGACGATGAGGCGTGTTCGGTTCTTGTACTGTGGCTTGCCTTCTTGCGCGAGCGGCTGATGCGTGCGTTGAGCGGTGAATCACCATACCGATGACACACGACACGACCAAAGACACGACACACAAAACTGCTGACGTACCTCGGTGAGGGTCGCGACGGCCTGGTCGAGCGCCTCCGAGATCCAGCCCAGGGTGGCCTCGCTCGTGGAGCTGCCCGCGAACCCATCCATGATCTGCACACACACAACCTCAGCAATCCCACTTCGCGTCCATGCGTGTATGGTCGTGTGTGCCGCGTGTGCCGTGTGTGTGTGTGTGTGGTTGTGTGTGTGTGTGTGTGTGGTCGTGTGCGCCGTGCGTGTCGTGTGTCTGTAGAGAGGAGGTGTTGACCTGCTTCATGCACTGCTGCTCGGCCGCCCACGAGTTGAACCGCTGGGTCTCCTCGCCCGCGGTCATAACAGACACCTGCCGACCCAAGCGAAGGGGGGCGAGGGTCAGTGCTGCGTAGCGGCCGAGGGGGCAGGGGAGGGAGGGAGGGGGGACGTGTACGAGTGCATCTTCGGGAAAGACGTCGTACATGATGCGGCAGTACTCGGAGATGCCCTCGACGCACAGGGTCTGCACGGTGCGATTGGCCGCGAAGGCGCCACCATCTTTCTTGGTCTTCAGGGCTGAAGATGGATCGAGAGAGGTGCGTCGTGAGTCGAGAGCATGCACGCCCCCAATTGTTACACAGATGGCGCTGAGAGAATAAATGGATGGAAGGGAGGACGCGGCATACCAAAGGAGAGCTCCACAGCCTCCTCATCACCCTGGAATTTGTTGGTGTCCAGCAAAATCAGCGTCCGCTCGATGGGCAGCCGACCCTCCGCCATCTCTGCTAATCTTTTTCTTTGCCAATTTGTTTGTTTTTTATTTTATTTATGTTTATTTGTTTTGCAGCTTTGGACATAAACGCGGCACAACACTGACTTAGAGGAGGGCCTTGAGGTCGGCGCTGCCGGCCTTCAGCTCGGCGGCCGTCGGCATCTTGTCGTGGGCCAGCAGGTCGGCCGCAGCAGATGCCAACGGGTCCATACCTGTCGCACGACACACGACACGACACGACGTCAGGTGGTCTGCGCGCTGCTGGGGTATCGATGAGGGAGAGAGGGTGGTACCAAGAGCAGCGACGGCCAGGACCTTGCCCTGACGCACGTAGTAGGCGGCGAACTTGAGCTCGTCGGGGTTGCCCTGGATGATGACCTCGTCGAACGAGGTGGCGTGGCCGGCGTAGCGCACGCTCTTGCCGAACTGGACGGTCCAGAAGAAGGGCACGATGTCGAACTGCCTCGTCTGCTTGCCCAGGAAGTGGCGAGCGACAGCTCGGCCTGTCCGGAGCAAAGCAAGTCGCGTCTTAGCAAACACACGACACACGACACACACAGAGGGAGGTACGTACCCTGGGTCTGGGCCATGCCCCAGTGCTCGACGCGGACGGCCTCGCCGGTGAGGTGGTAGGGGTAGCGGGCCACGTCACCAGCCGCCCACAGACCGTCGGCGGCCTTCAGGAACTGCCGTCCGGAAGAGAGTAACAAATAAACCGTGAGTTATAGAGTAATAATAATAATAAGTAAAGAGCCGCCGACGAACCTCGTCGACGATGAGGCTCTGGTCGCGACCCAGGTCGACGTTGCCCTTGATGAAGCCGGTGGCGGGAATGACGCCGGCGCCAACCACGACCACATCGGCCTCCAGCACGGTGCCGTCGCCCAGCACCACAGCGCTCACCTGTTTGTTTAAATATGAATGAAATATAAAGACAAAAAGCGAAAAGAAATGATGGCCATCACACGCGGTGCTGACCGCGCGGTCCGTTTGAGCGGCCCGGGAGTCGTACCGAGCCCTCGCCCTTGAACTCCTTGGTGGTGCTCGACAGGTAGAACTTGACACCCTTCGACTCGTGAAGCTGCCCCCCCCCATCGCGTTTTAGTGTTGTGCGTGTGCGGCGTGTGTCATGCGTGCGGTGGTGCGTGTGTGGTGATGTGTGTACCTTCTGCAGGACGGCACCCACTTCAGCGCCGAGAACACGCTCAAACGGGACCTTTTCCATGCCGACCACGGTCACGCTCTTGGCCTTGGCCACCAGCGCCGCGGCAACCTCCATGCCTGTCATGCCACAATCGCGCGCCGGTTAGCCATCAGCGGGCCAGCAAGCCTGCTGGCGCGCGGGCAGTCGGGTCAACTGTACCGATGAACGACGACCCGATCACGACCAGGTTCTTGCCCTCGGCCTTCGAGGCAATGGCGTGGGCCTCCTCAGGCACGCGCAGGCAATAGACGTTGCCGAGGTCGCCGCCGGGGATCGGAAGACGGCGAGGACTGCAGTCGATAGCCCAAGAGCCAACGGTGTTGTGTCAGAAGACGTCTCGAGGCGGCGCGTGTGCGTTATTTAAGGTGGAGGTGGAGGCGGAGGTGGAGGTGACACGTACATGCCGCCCGTGGCGACCAAGCAGCCATCATACTTGAACGTCTCGCCGCCGGCAATTGCGACGGTCTTCTTTTCCGCGTCCAGCTCGGTGACCTTGGCATGTTCGCGCGTTAGTCGGCACATGTTCGATCAACAGACATCTGTGTGTCGTGTGCCGTGTCGTGTCGGTACCTCCTTGCCGAGCAGGAGTTCGATGTTGCGCTCCTGGTAGAAGGACTCGGGGCGCAGGAGGATGCTGTCGACGCTGGCGGTCATCGCCTTGCTGAGCTTGATCCTGTCGTACGGCAGGTCGGTCTCCTTGCCGATCAGCACGATGCGGCCGGTGAAGCCCTCGTCCCGCAGCGTCTCAGCAGCGGACTGGCCGGCAGCACCTGCGTTCAATCGGTGCTCAGCCCAAACCGTGCGGTGGTGCGTGTGCGATACTGTTTGGGCTCTTGCAGTAGTATAGTACCTCCGCCGATGATGACGAACACGCGGGTGTCGGCCGCGCTGCAGGAACCCACGCGCGGGGTGCGCTTCCACACCTTGAGCTCGCCGACGGGCGCGGCCACGATCACATCCTCGCCCTCGACCCGCACCTTGAAGCTGTGGACCGAGTCCAGGCCGGGGCTGTCTTCGATGTCGCCGGTCGAGGTGTTGAAGCAGGCGCCATGCCACGGGCAGCGGACCCGGCCATTGCACAGGGTCTGCGTTTATAACAGAATAAGTAATTAATAAACACAAAAACACAAAAACAAAACAAAAACAAAAAATACAAAAAATATCGGCGTTAGGTGGAGGTCGTACGCCGTCCTTCAGGGGAGCGCCGTAGTGCGTGCATTTGTTTCCGATGGCCTTGAATTGGTTGTCCTCCTTGACGAGCAGAACCTTGCCGGCGTCGCCCAGAGCCACCTCCCTCATCCTGGGCGTGCAGAATAATTAGCGAGCGCTTCAATGCTGCAAGCAAACAACGATCAAGAGTGGAAGGTAGGTGTGCGCACTCGCCGTTCTTGAGATCGCCCACCTTCGCCACCACTGCCTCAACAATTTGATTAGTATCCTCCATCTTCGTCTGTCCCAAACGCACTGCACAGAGCTGCCCGCAATTTACGTATTTATTACTTTTTTTATCTCGCCACTAGCTTTTCTTTTCCCTTTTCCATTCTTCTTCGCGGCGACATTCATTTGTCGACGATTAAATACCAAGAAAAAGACCGGAATTTAGCTGGAAGGGACAAAGAGGAAGATCTGGTGGCGCAGGCATTTGTTGATCGATTCGTGAAGGATTCAGCAAGCGAGTAGCGGAGAGACGAGGAGACGAGCGCGCGAGCCAGACATCATCAACCGTTCGTTCGTTTTAATTAATCGTCGCTCGGGTCTGAATAAACCCTTTCGCTGCTTCTGCCTCCCATAGCCACAGCAGCATGTCGTCATCGGTCCATTACAAATTTGCGGTGACGCTAGGCACAGCCGATTTCAATACCATTCACTTCGATGGCTCCTTCATCAAATGCTCAGAGCTCAAGGAGGCCATTATAGAGCAGAAGAAGATAAAACTCACTATCGCAGAGCTGCGCGTGACTAACACCCAGACCTCTGAAGGTTCGTTGCTGCGCTACTCAGAAGATTTTTGCCAATGGCCTTGAGCCATTCTCTGACCCTCTACACCAACAGACTACAAGGATGACGACCTGATTCCGAAGAACACGAACGTCGTCGCCAAGCGAGTCCCGCCCACCTTCAATCAGCAGCCCGCCATCCAAGCCGCTGCGCCCAAGATCGTCGCCGCTGCTCCGCAGTATCAGCAACCTACTGCTACGTCCAGCAGTCTCGTCCCCGAAACCGAGGAAGACAAGATCAACGCCATCATCGCTGGCGCGGGGAGCTATGTAGCGCCGGCCACGGGAGGGATGCGAAGAGGAGGCGGAGGAGGCGTAGGTGGTGGCGGCATGGGCGCTGGCGGACCATCTCAGCAACAGCGAGTACCTCCACCAGGGTACGTGTGCTATCGATGCAGTCAGCCGGGACATTTCATCCAGCACTGCCCCACGAACGGCGATCCACGATACGACGTGCCGAAGGTGAAGAGGGCTCTTGGCATCCCGCGATCGTTCCTGCAAGAGATCAAGGGCGGCAAGACCGAGGATCTCAAGGACATGAAGGGCGTCGTGCGTCTCGCCGACGGTACGCTGGCCATGGTGCGACCCGACGAAGAGACTTTCAAGAAGGCCATCGCCACCGTGGACAACCCTCTCGTCCGCGAGGAGACCCCCACCGAGCTTCAGTGCCCCATCTGCGAGCTGCTTCTCGAAGACGCTGTTCTTGTTCCCTGTTGTGGCAACTCCTTCTGTTCGCAATGTAAGTCTTTCCGTCGGCCGCCTTTCGTTCTGCTCATCTTTCGCTACTACTACCGCTACTCTCTCCTTTCAGTTCTTTAGTCCTCCTCTCGCACGCTTTACTTCCAGGCGCACATGAGACTCACCATCTTCTTCTTCTTTATCATCTTCTTCTTGTTCATCACCAGGTGTTCGAGCGGCGCTGTTGTCGAATGGCCGGTGCCCGAGCTGCAAGGACGCGAGCGTGACCGTGGACAGCCTGTTCCCCAACAAGAACCTGCGCGAGGCCGTCAGCGCCTACAAGCGCAGCGTGGGCATGGAGGTACGGGACGGCTCCTCCGCCAGCGCCGCCGCCGTCAGTTCTCCACCGCCGCCGCCCGCCAACCAACTGCCCTTCGAAGAGTTGGAAAATGGTACCGTGTCGGCCCACCACCTGTTCTCCTTCAGCAACATCATCATCAGCAGCTGCGACGCACCGATAATAAATCCACACCCGAGACGTGGCGTTGGTTCTGCTGTTCCCGCTGGCTTCTTGGTCTCACCTCCCACCACCACAGGTTCGAGACCGGCCTCAAAGCCGGCGACGCCCGGGCAGGCCGCGACCTCCACCACGGGATCGCCGCCGCGGTCGCCGTCGGCCGCTGCGCCCGCCGCCGGAGGCGACGGAGCTGCGACCGACCAGCCGTCAGCGAACGGCGGGGACGCGGCGGCGGCGGCTCCTGGTACTGGCGCCCCGGGGCAGGACGACGGGCGGCGGCCGTACTACGACGCCGGCCAGCAGCCACCACGGGACGGCATGGGTTACGTCGACAAGAGGGTACGTGCCACTGCGGCCCATCACAGCTGGCTGCCGACGTCGCTAACACACACACACGACACACACTCAACCGTGCAGCAGGCCGGCTGCTTCAAGTGCGGGGAGCCGGGCCACATCGCGCGCGACTGTCCCTACGGGGCGGGCATGTACGTGCCGGTCTACGGCGCCGACCCGCGCAGCATGGCCTACGCCATGTCGCCCTACGGCATGATGGACCCGCGCATGGCCTACGCCGCCCAGTACTACGGCATGGGCGGCGCGCCCTACGGCGGCATGGGCGGCTACGGCGGCGGCCACCACATGGGAGGCAGGGACGGCCGATATCACGACCAGCGCGGCGGCTACGACCCGCGCGGACGGCGAGACGACGACCGAGGCCGCTATCGCGACACCCGGGAGCGGGAGCGCGGCCGCAGCCGCGACCGAGACAGGGAGCGCGATCGCTACAGGGACGGCGAGAGGTACCGTGAGCGCGAGCGCGATCGCGACCGAGAGCGAGATCGGGAGAGGAGGCGCTCGTCGACGCGCGAACGCGACGAACACGAGAAGAAGCGAAAGCTCGGAGGCGACGAGGAGCCGGCGAACGGCGGCGTAGGCGCTGACGATGGCGCGAAGCGCAGAAGCAGCAGCCGACACGGCTCCCGGGAGCGCACCAGATCGCCGGCGGGCGAGGGCGAGGGTGAGGGGCATCACGGCGAGAAGCGGAAGCACGAGGGCGACGAGCAGCTGCAGGAGGGAGTGCCGCGCGAGGCGGCCGACAGCGAGCTCCAGGCGCAGGGCGAGCCCGAGGCGAAGCGGCGGCGCGAGGGAGAGGTCGACGGTGAGGGCGCCGCCGCCGCCGACGACGACAGCGAGGCGAGGGAGAGGGAGCGAGAAAGAGCGAAGGAGAGGGAGCGCGAACGTGAACGCGAAAGAGAGAAGGAACGCGAACGCGAAAGGGAAAGAGAGAAGGAGCGCGAGGCGAGGCGCGAACGCGAGAGGGAGCGGGACAGGGAGCGCGAACGCGAGAGGGAGGCCAGGGACCGCGAGAAGCTGAAGGAGCGCGAGCGGGAGAAGGAACGCGAACGCGAAAGAGAACGCGAAAGAGAGAAGGAGCGCGAACGTGAAAAAGAGAAGGAGCGCGAACGCGAGAGGGAAAGAGAGAAGGAGCGCGAACGTGAACGCGAAAGAGAGAAGCAGAGGCAGCGCGAGCTCGAGTGGGAGCGCGAGTGGGAGAAGGAGAAGGAGCGCGAGAGGCAAGAGCGCGAGCGGCAGGAGAAAGAGAAGGAGAAAGAGCGAGAGAGGGAGAGGGAGAGGGAGCGAGAAGGGCGGAAGAGCAGCCGGAAGGACCACCGGAGCAAGGACGAGAAGGAGAAGGAGAAGAAGGAGAAGAAGGACAAGTCGTCATCGTCTTCTTCATCAGCGTCGTCGAAGGAGGAGCGGAAGCGGAAGCGCGAGGAGCGCGAGAAGGAGAGGCGCAGCAGCGGCGGCAGTGGCAGCAGCAGCAGCAAGAAGGAGAAGCGGGACAAGTCGAGCAAGTCGAGCCGGAAGGAGAAGAAGGACGGCGACAAGTCCAGCAAGCCTTCTTCTTCCTCCTCCCACTCGTCCCATTCCTCGTCGTCTTCGTCGTCGCGCAAGGAGGGGCGACACTCTTCCTCTTCCTCATCGTCGTCTTCATCATCCAAGAGGCACCGAAGCGACAAGGGCGACGCCACGCCGGCCGAGGCCCGCCGCTGAGCCAGCGCAACTCAACGCAACGCACAACAAAATGAATAGTTGTAAAAAATAAATAAAATAAAATAAAAACGATAAAAACAAAAACAATAAAACAGGGTAATATTTCACATTCCTCAGAGAAAATGCGGAGGGAAATGGTCCGTGAAAAAAACGCGAATTTGGTAAAGATGACAAAGAACGCGAAGCCGCCAACAGCGAGTATAAAGGGCTCGTCTGTCCTTCTGGCAGGTGTACTCGCTCTACTCCTTCTCGTGATCTACGATCCCTACACCATCACTGAATTCCTCGATTCCCAGTTCAATCCCTCCCCCACCACCAACACTGAGATGAAGAAGCAAACAAACATCGTTTTCAGTCAATTGAAGGACATACCGCTCGCGGCACTCGACGGCAAGTCGTCGAGCACGCTGAGCCAGGTGTGCGAAGGTCGCCAGGGCGTCGTGCTCAGCATGCTGCGCCGATTCGGCTGCGTGCTCTGCAGAGATGGCGCCGCCCAGCTCTCCACCATCAAATCCGATCTCGATGCGTTGAACGTGGGCCTCGTCGGCGTGGCGCCCGAGCACTTGGGCCAGGACGAGTTCACCAAGGACGGTGGCTACTTCAAGGGCGATCTTTTCGTCGATGAGCCCGCACCCTCTACACCGCCCTCCACGTACGTAGTGTGTCGTGTGTCGTGTCGTGTGTAGTGTGCTAACTTTGGATGCAACCGCTACGCGCAGACGACTCGTGCGTCGATCTTTTCGCTGCTGCGGCCCTCGGTGTGGAAGGCCGCGTCGGAGGCAAAGTCGCGAGGCAAGGACGGCAACTTCCAAGGCGATGGCCTGTACGTGTCCACACGACACACACACAACACACACGGCACACTCGACACACACCACGCACGCACAGTTGACGTCTGACCACACGCGATCTGCAGTCAACTGGGCGGCACGTTCGTGTTCGACTGCGCCAGCGGCGAGGTGCTCTTCGCCCACTACCAAGAGCACTTCGGCGATCACCCCGACCCGCAGGAGGTGCTCAAGGTGGTCAAGGATCACTTCTCCGCCAAGGAAGCCGACACCCAGTAGTAGTAGAAGTAGCAGCAGCCCAACTCGACCACCAACACTGGTGATGTGGTTCTCTTCACCATCCCCTCTTCCTCCTGAACGAGGCCCGCAAGCTTGTGTACATAACAGCCTACACTCCACAAGTTTTTTTCCCCACACTGTGTTTCACACTTTGTATATCCGAATAATAATATGATATGTCTTACGAGTATGTGTGATGGATGTGACAATGGTTGATATACTGTAGTATGAATGCCGCTTATCTGGCGGCCTGCGCCGCCAGCGTCTCTATGTTGGTTGTTATTCGTGTGATGGTGGTGTTCTGTTGTTGTTTATACAAACCCGACGTTGTTGTCGTTGCAGCTGTTCGTGTGGCGGTTCTGCCGTCTCGCCATCACTACTCCCTGCGCACGGGGAAGTTCCACACCTTGAGCGCCTTGTCCCACCCGCAGCTCACCAGCCGGCCCGAAGGCATCAGCGTCATGCTCACCACGTCCTGCAAGTCACGCATGCGTGGGTCAGCATGTGTGTCGTGTGCGCGCGCGTGTCGTGTTGTATGCGCGCGTGTTGTGTCTGCGGTGATGGCACGAACGAACCTTGGCATGGGCCTCTTCGATGCTGTAGACGAGGGTGCCGCTGTTGACGTGCCAAAGTCGGATGCTCTTGTCCTTCGAGCCCGAGGCAAGAAAACCGTCACGAAGCACCTGCAGTGTGCGAATGGTGTCCGTGTGCCCGTGCAGCAGCTTCATGCACTCGCCCGTGTCCACGTCCCAAATGCGCAGCGTGTGGTCCTGCGACCCCGTCGCCAAACGACCTGCAACCACCATCATCAGCCGTGCGTCATCGTGTGCGGTGCGTGCGGTGTGTGTCTTGTCGTGTGCGGTGTGTGTTACCATCGAGAAGCACGGCGAGGCACTCGACGGGCTTGTCGTGGCCGAACAGCATGCGGCCGCACCGCATGCCGCCTCGGCTGCCGTCGCCCTCCCAGATGCGGACGACGCGGTCGTCCCCCGCCGATACGATGCGGCCGTCGGGCAGCACGCCCAGCGCGCGCACCTTGCCCTGGTGGCCCTCGAGAATGGCCAGACACGCGCTCGTGTCCGGGTCCCACAGCCGAATGGTCGCGTCCCACGACGCCGACACCAGCTCGCCCTCGGGCAGCACCGCTAACCGGAACACGGCGTCCTTGTGGCCCGTCATCGTGGCCTTGTGCTTCCCGTTCTTGGCCGTCCACAGGCTGATCCCGCCGTCCCACGACCCCGACGCAATGCACGGCACGCCCTTCCTCATCACCACTGCATGTGTCGTGTCGTGTGTCATGTGCGATGAGTGTCGTGTCGTGTCGTGGCGCGGTGAGTGTCGTTTTGTGGGGTGAGAGTACCTTGGAGAGCCCAGACGGCCTTGGAGTGGGCCTTGATCTTCTCGGGCCGGGCTCTATGGGTCTTGGGGTTCCAGATGTAGATGCAGGCGTCGTCGGCGCCGCTGGCCAGTCGCCCGTCGGGCGTGGTGAGCACCACGTTGATCTCGTCCCTGGTGCGCGCTGAGCTTCTTCGACGACGGCACAAAGTCGCCCAGGATGTCCTGCTGCAGCTCTTCCAAGTCCGTCTGATTCGCAAACGCCTATTTTTGTTCCAAAACGAAACAAACGAAACAGTTTCAGAAACAACGAAATCTAGGAAGAGGTGTGGAATGATCGGTATGGTACCAGTCTCTCGAGGTCGTGTGCGGTGGTCCAGCTGCGCATGCTGCTGGCCGTGCTCCGCTGGCTGCGGTCGCTGCCGTTGGAGTGGCTCGACATGGCCCCGACGGAGCGCTCGCTGAGCTGGCGCTGGAGCATCTGGCTGGTCAGCTCGCTGTTCTTGGTCGGGCCGTCGCGCGTGTCGCTGGCGTCCTCCGGCAGCTCGCCGCACTCGCTCTCGCCCTCCCACAGCTCCTCGACCTCGTCGATCACCTGCCGCCGCGTCCCGGTCTTCTTCATCGCCCGAATCCCCACCGCCTTCTGACCGATCGCCTGTCCGACCCACATATGAGCGCGTGTCGTGTCGTGTGCGGTGTGTGCGTGCGTGCGTGCGTG